GCCACGTCAGACAACTAGTGCTCCGTTGGGAACCAGTTTGGCACAGGGAAATTTACAGTCAGGGCCATGCTCTTACAGGTAGTCAAGGCCATCAGTAACATCTTGCAGTGCAGTGTCATCACGCTGGGGAAAGTGAACACCATTGTGGAGGACTTTGCTGCCCTGGGCTTCCCTTACTGCAGGGGGGCCATAGATGGCACTTATATCCCCATGCTGGCTCCCTAACCACCATGCCTCATGTATCAATAGGAAAAGGTACTTCTCTATGGTGCTCCAGGCCTTCATGGACCAGAAGGGACAGTTCACAGACATAAACGATGGCTGGTCAGGGAAGGCTCATGAAGCCCACATCTTCCAGAACTCCTGCCTGTTCCAGAAAATGCACACGGGCACTTTTTCTCCTGACTGCAGCATCAGGATCAGTGATGTGGAAGCCCGATCTGCATCCTGGGCAAAGCAGCCTACCCCAGCTGGTCCCCTCTTTCATCCCTGGCCATGGGCAGCCGAGGGTGCTGCGGCAGTGCTGGCAGCTGTGGGGGTGGGGGAAGGTTACAGAGGGCACTGGGGTCTGCAATGGCTCCTGGGATGGGTTCTGTGTGGCACAGGGCTGTGAAAGGTCCAAACGTGCCACAAGCCCTTTTCCTTCAGCCTACTGCTTTAAGCCCTGCAGGAGAAGGGGAGCAGTGAAGATGTCAGGTATAGCCAAAGTAGCCACAAGGGCAACTGAGAGGCCTCTGGAGGGCAATTATTTTGAAATAGCAACAGCTAAGCATCCACATACACACTATTTTGAAATAATTTTGAAATAAGCATTATTTCTCATGGAAAGCAGGAGTTATTTCGAAATAACCAGCCCATTATTTTGAAAGAGCGGACTTGGAAGTGTGGACGCTCCGCTTATTATTTCAAAATAACTCCCTAGTGTAGACCAGGGCTTAGGGATGTGAAAAATCCAGAGACATAGTAAAGCCAATTTAAACACCAGTGTTGAAGTGCTAGGTCATGTAACCCTGTAAGGCTCCAGGAGGGGATCCTCCCACTCTAGGTCAGTGGGCGGCCACTCCGCCCTGCTATACCCTGCTCAGTTTCTTCTGGGTAATCAGCTGAGGCTTTTGGCCCTAGGATAGTCCATAGCCCCAGATAGCAGTCCATAACAAATGGTTCTAAGCCCTTGACTTGGTTCAGGGTGGGCAGCAGTAACAGTCCTCAGGCCAGGCCCTGATTCAGGGCAAGGCAGCAAACAGTCACAAGTCCCATTTGAAAACAACCCAGTCAGATCCCCTTGCTCAGGTGGGGGGGTCCAGAGGATGCAGGCTGCTGTTTGGGAACAGCTGAGGGGGGAGACTGCCACCCAGGAGTAGGGTAGCAGTGGGGATGCTGTCCCACCCACTCCACTGCATCCCAGCCCAGGGCCCTATCAACAGCAAGTAGTCTGCCGCTGGGTCATCGGGGATCCATACAACACCACGCTGACCCAGTTCTGGCTCCGCCAAACAGTGGTTGGCTGTCCTTGGGCTCGTTTCATTCTCCCCCTTGGCATGTACCTGGCTCCAGTGTAGGTCATCTCGGCTTTGTCGGACTAGAACCTCCGGCCTGGTAAGCAGCTCCTCCAGATAGTCGTCCAGTTGTGGGCCCAGCAGCCCAAGCAGGTCTCTGGGGCCTGACTGGCCTCTCAGGCAGTCCTTTTATATCCCTAGCCATGTCTCCTGGCTTCTGATCAGGTGGGGTGCTGGGGCCAGGTGCTGCCCACCAGGGCTCTGGGAAGGGCTCCTCCCCTTCTGGATCAATGGGCAGCTATTCCGTCCCACTGCTGGTTGATAGAAAAATTCTTTCATTGTCCTAGCTTATGCGTGTGGGAGAGACCACCTCACTTTAGCAATGGACAAACCCCTTCCGTCACTATGGCATGCTTTCTGAAATTTGATTTGTCCTTTTTATGTGTGTTCACTTTTTTGATTATATCCCTTTGGTATATATGGTCATGCCTATTTTCTTCCACAATTTGATCTGAGGAAGTGGCTCTGGCCCAAAAGCTAATAAACCATCTTGTTAGACTTTAAAGTGCTACACAGTCCTGTTTTTTGTTATGGCATGCTTGGATTTTTGGGGTTTGTTTTTAAATAAGAAGATGATGGAAGGGGAGAGAAGAGTGGGCATCTGGGCTGGAGGCTAATTGTGGGAGCCCCCTGGTGGTGGGGGAGATGGCAGGGAATTAAAGAAACTGGCATTATTCCCTGATCGATTCTTTCATATCTGCTGAGAAAGAGATAGGGAGACAGACCAGAATTTCAAAGTGCCCTTCTGTTGAAGTGATTAAAGAAAATATTTGTGAGGTTGACAAATTGCAGTGTGTGGCCTTCCTCCTCTTTTTATTTTAATATTGAAGAGTTACCCCACCAGAAGTTTTCTTGCTGCAGTATCTTATTATAATCACCAGGTCAATGAGAACTGCACGAACTTCCCTTAGCCAACAATGGGCTGCATTTATAAATTCACACTGTATTATCATTATAATGCACAATATATTATAATACAAAGACATTTGTTACACGCATGCAAAGATCAAAATGTGAATGTAATTTTTCTGCCTTTCCTCTGCTGAGAATTTGAAAACACTTTGTATACACCATACCTCTTCTCTTTGCTATGTATTATTCTTGGGCACAAGCTAAAAAACATGCAGCAAAGTAAAAGTTGTTTATAACTCTGGCCAGTTTTTTAAAGCTGCTTGTGAAGATAACATTTTGGAAAAGTTCCAGGATGCAAGTGCCCAATACACACTTGCTAAGAACTGTAGATTCATAGATTCCAAGGCCAGAAGGGAAAGTTGTGACAATCTAGTCTGACTTCTTGTATAACCCAGGCCATAGTACTTTCTCAAATTAATCCCTAGAGCAGAACTTTTAGAAAATCTTGACTTTTAAATTGCCTGTGATAGAGAATCTACCTCCACCGACACCCCCACTGGTAAATGACAGTGCAGAGGTGGGCAATAATTTTCACAGGGGGGGTCACTTAATTTTGGTACATGGTCATAGTCTGGCTTTACCCCAGAAGGGACGGGGCCTGGAGTGGAAGGGGCGGGGCTGGGGGCTAGTCTCTCCCCACAGTTGTCTGGGGCTGGAGGCTTTGAATTAAAGACACAACAAAGAGCTCGTAGCTCTGGCCCCTGCTGGGGTAGCAGCGCAACCATGAGCCATTGAAATAGGATCCTGCTGCCGTAGCCGCTGCCTAGAAATTTGGTGACCAGGCCAAGATATAAATAGAAAGCGGCCAGATGCAGCCCACAGGCTGGATCAAAGTGTTAGGCAGGCCAGATCCGGCCCCCAGGCCACATTTTGCCCAGCCCTGTGCTAGTGTCTGAAAGTATTATATTCTCCCAAAAAAGATGCAATTGTAGGCTTCCAAATCATCTATTTTAAATTAAGATCTAATGGGAAATTTCTTCTAGATTCTAAAGGTGAAATCCTGGTCCCATTAAATCAGTAATATAACTGCCATTGACTTCCAATCTTTCCCCTTTTCAGCCTTCTCCCCGATTTTATCACTGAGAGATTAAAAGTAAAATGAGCATATCAATCTGCACAACTCTTATAGTTTGAGCACTTGACATTAATTAATTCTCATCCTTCTGGATCAATGGGCAGCTATTCCGTCCCACTGCTGGTTGATAGAAAAATTCTTTCATTGTCCTAGCTTATGCGTGTGGGAGAGACCACCTCACTTTAGCAATGGACAAACCCCTTCCGTCACTATGGCATGCTTTCTGAAATTTGATTTGTCCTTTTTATGTGTGTTCACTTTTTTGATTATATCCCTTTGGTATATATGGTCATGCCTATTTTCTTCCACAATTTGATCTGAGGAAGTGGCTCTGGCCCAAAAGCTAATAAACCATCTTGTTAGACTTTAAAGTGCTACACAGTCCTGTTTTTTGTTATGGCATGCTTGGATTTTTGGGGTTTGTTTTTAAATAAGAAGATGATGGAAGGGGAGAGAAGAGTGGGCATCTGGGCTGGAGGCTAATTGTGGGAGCCCCCTGGTGGTGGGGGAGATGGCAGGGAATTAAAGAAACTGGCATTATTCCCTGATCGATTCTTTCATATCTGCTGAGAAAGAGATAGGGAGACAGACCAGAATTTCAAAGTGCCCTTCTGTTGAAGTGATTAAAGAAAATATTTGTGAGGTTGACAAATTGCAGTGTGTGGCCTTCCTCCTCTTTTTATTTTAATATTGAAGAGTTACCCCACCAGAAGTTTTCTTGCTGCAGTATCTTATTATAATCACCAGGTCAATGAGAACTGCACGAACTTCCCTTAGCCAACAATGGGCTGCATTTATAAATTCACACTGTATTATCATTATAATGCACAATATATTATAATACAAAGACATTTGTTACACGCATGCAAAGATCAAAATGTGAATGTAATTTTTCTGCCTTTCCTCTGCTGAGAATTTGAAAACACTTTGTATACACCATACCTCTTCTCTTTGCTATGTATTATTCTTGGGCACAAGCTAAAAAACATGCAGCAAAGTAAAAGTTGTTTATAACTCTGGCCAGTTTTTTAAAGCTGCTTGTGAAGATAACATTTTGGAAAAGTTCCAGGATGCAAGTGCCCAATACACACTTGCTAAGAACTGTAGATTCATAGATTCCAAGGCCAGAAGGGAAAGTTGTGACAATCTAGTCTGACTTCTTGTATAACCCAGGCCATAGTACTTTCTCAAATTAATCCCTAGAGCAGAACTTTTAGAAAATCTTGACTTTTAAATTGCCTGTGATAGAGAATCTACCTCCACCGACACCCCCACTGGTAAATGACAGTGCAGAGGTGGGCAATAATTTTCACAGGGGGGGTCACTTAATTTTGGTACATGGTCATAGTCTGGCTTTACCCCAGAAGGGACGGGGCCTGGAGTGGAAGGGGCGGGGCTGGGGGCTAGTCTCTCCCCACAGTTGTCTGGGGCTGGAGGCTTTGAATTAAAGACACAACAAAGAGCTCGTAGCTCTGGCCCCTGCTGGGGTAGCAGCGCAACCATGAGCCATTGAAATAGGATCCTGCTGCCGTAGCCGCTGCCTAGAAATTTGGTGACCAGGCCAAGATATAAATAGAAAGCGGCCAGATGCAGCCCACAGGCTGGATCAAAGTGTTAGGCAGGCCAGATCCGGCCCCCAGGCCACATTTTGCCCAGCCCTGTGCTAGTGTCTGAAAGTATTATATTCTCCCAAAAAAGATGCAATTGTAGGCTTCCAAATCATCTATTTTAAATTAAGATCTAATGGGAAATTTCTTCTAGATTCTAAAGGTGAAATCCTGGTCCCATTAAATCAGTAATATAACTGCCATTGACTTCCAATCTTTCCCCTTTTCAGCCTTCTCCCCGATTTTATCACTGAGAGATTAAAAGTAAAATGAGCATATCAATCTGCACAACTCTTATAGTTTGAGCACTTGACATTAATTAATTCTCATACCTTCCAATAGGGAAATATTATTCATATTTTACAAATGGAAAACTAGCAATGAGTTTAAATTGCAGCAAGGGAGATTTAGGTTGGACATTAGCAAAAACGTCCTAACTGTCAAAGTGGCTAACCACTGGAATAAATTGCCTAGGGAGGTAGTGGTGATATGCAAGAGCACGTTGGATAGGCATCTATGAGGGATAATCTAGATTCTGGAAGATGGTGTTGGGTTCTGCGTTGAGGGCAGGGGAGTGGACTTGACCTCTTGAGGTCCCTTCCAGTTCTAGTGTTCTATGGTTCTGAGACACAAGGACTAAATGGCTTGCCCAATATTCAGGAAGGAACTGAACCCTCTCTCCTGATCATGGCCTTAACTGGAAGACATCCATATGTGCGCATCCTAGTGGATGGAACTGGCTCTGCTAAACTGTGTGTCCTACATCCTTGTACTGATCATGATAGAGGAAGTAGTACAGACATGTTTGCACTAGACAGATTTTAATTCCCTGACACTGTTTTTCCTGTTAAATCACAGTCTCGTGATTCAATTTTCTTCTACAAAGGCAGAGAGCAAATTAACAAAGAAAATACAAGGTAATTACTCTAACCAATCCTAAAGGCTCTGCTGGGATTACTACAGTGTTCCTCAACCTCTCCAAAATGGCAACCCCTTATTGAAGTAAAAGAATTCCACAAAACTTTCACATTTCCTTTAAAACTAAGAGTAAAAATAGTTTAAAGATAATAATTATAATTCAATTTAATTTATTTTTCATGTGTTTTTAAAAATTAACAGAATACTTGACCTCAAATACTTTTTCTTTGCTCTAGATTGTAATCAAATGTTTAGTATCTTGTGATTCTCATGCTACCCTTTTTCATGCCTCTCCTCAGGGTCATGACTTACCGGTGGAGAAATCCTAACTTAAGAGAAAAAGGAAGTAAACAGCTCCTGTTTCCACTGGATGGCAAAACTCCATTTGATTTCAGGAGGAGGATCGGGCTCCATAACAGAAGCAAATAAACATCAATGTTTGACAAATGAAGGAAGACTAAAACAACCTAAAAAAATTGTTATAAGCTTCTAAAAAGGTATTAAAATATGGAGTTGTGTTCTGACCGCATTTATGGCAAAATCACTCTAAACCATGGCAGATTAAGCATAAATTTCATTGGTCTGGAGTGGGAGAAGGTTGAGCATCCTTAGACAAAGGAAAAAGTCGGGGCCTGTTTCCAATCTATGTATCCAATGAGAGGAATGATGTACTCAATTCCCTCTACTCTCTTTTGTTCCACCAGGGTACCACTAGCATTGCTACAGTGGCACAGCTGCAGTTGCACTGCTGTAGCATAGACATTTATCACAGCCATGGGCAAAGGGTGAAACCCCCCTTTGGGAACACTAGCTCCCAGGTCCTGTCTTTCCACCTAAGTCCCTGCTCCTTGCACACACATCTTTACCCCTGGTGTCCTGAGTCTCTCTCATGCCTGCACAGCCAGAGGAACCTTGACCAAATTGCCACAACCAGAGCATTTGGCAGCAGGTCAGTGACAGGTGCTCCAGGGGAGATTTAGCCTTCTCTGGCCTATTGTACCCACCATCTGTTTCCATTCTATACCTGGTTTACAATTTGGTTCAATGGCTGTTGGCACCCCCACTATACAAAGTGTTCCAGTGCCCTGGAACTTAAAGGAGAGTGCACTGTGGCCTTTTGGAGTTACACTGGCATAAAACCACAGAGAGCGGATTCAGGCCCACATATTGTAAATGTGTAGTACCTGTACTTATTAATTTCTCCAAAGTATTTTTCATGTCCAGTTTTATTGCCTATTAAAGATTTTGTTTATTTAAAGGATCGCCTCAATGAACAATCAGTTCTTCAGCCCTTGTATAGATTATGCTGATCACAACACGTCTTTCATTCTCGTATTCTGGCCTTCCTTCTCCACATGCAGCAATGTCTTTTCATGATCTCTACCCAGCTCTTTGGAAAGGTCATTTCAGTTCCCATGGGTACAGCTCGGTGACAGTCCATCAATTGTCATTGAGCATAGCTAAATGCCTGGTCTATTGCATTTTACTATACCTGTTCTCAACAGTGACACTCTGCACTCCACTCTGCTGCCTGATCACTTCATTAGGGACTCCATCATAGATTGAGATTCCCAGAATTCTTTCCATCACCCTTCCCATGACAGATAGTTGCTACTCCAGAGGCACGTAGTCTAGACATACCCCTATTCTCCCTTGGTTGTTATATGGGCTTTTGACAACGTATCAGACCACATCAATTTAGTTTTGCAGCAGTTCATTTTCAGTCTGATGTGACTGCTTTGTGTGTTGAGTTCTCACAGCTTTTTCTGTAGTTCGATAGTATTTTTGGCTATCAACCCAATATCCTCTGCGAAACTGAAATGGTTTAACTGCTCTCCATTGATATTGATTCTGCCTTCCACTTCAACTGCCTCATTACCATTTTGAGGCCAGCTGTGAAGAATTTTGATGAAAATGTGTCTCCTTGTTTCACATCTTTCTTATCTGGGATGCAAAGGCAAATACCAAATAAAGTTAAATCTGTAGTGCAGTATATCCTGATAACTTGACCCTGCCTGCCTCCTGAGTCTTGATTCACAGTTTGTGCTCTGGCCTGTCTTTTAACTCTGACCTCCTAGTATGTGACCTGACCTGATTCCTGGTTTGACCAGTAGGTTAGACTGCTCAACTCCCAGCTGTGACATATTTGCAGAAGTGGCTTTAGGTATGTCCTTATATATGGGGCATACACTTCCAGGATACCAAAGTTAAACACACATGTATCAGTCAGAACACCATTTCCAGTGTCCCTGTACAACTGTTGATTCAGACTGGACTAGTATCATTATACAGGAAAGACAAAATTATCTAATATCTCTTTTCTCTAAGAAAGTTGCATTTTGACTTTTGTAACAATCAGTTTCCTTCATGATGCCTGCAAAGTCTAGACCAGGAGACTGTGTGGTGGCATTCGGCTGGGTTAATCTGGGAGGAGAAAGAAAGGTCCTGTTTTATCTAGCAGTTTCAATCAACCATCTCATTTATTTTCATTATAAAAATTATTCCTGTGTCTTTTCTACCACAAAAGACACTAGAGAGAATATTCTGTAGGCGGGGATGCTCTAAGATATTACAGAGATTCAACAAGATGGTATAATGGTTGCTGAAGAACTAAGAGGCAGAAAGGTGATAGGCAACAGATGACCACAGCATATTATCTCTGGAATACAGAAGTGAGGGGACATTTTTACAGGTAGGGAGAGAAGCAGATGTAGCCCTGCATACAGCACATTATATAGATCCACACAAAACCTAGGGCTGGATCTGATTAAAGCTCTTTTTAAGTTCTCTTGCTAATAATTGAAAAGAAACTCCCATCTGGCTACATAACTCAGGGACATCCCTATTTGCTTAAAGCAATTTAAGCGTGGAACACACAGTGAACGTGCCTCTTGTTTCGAGACACAACCCTGCATGTGGGGCCAAATTATTGTTTCAGAGACCAGGGAGCACAGGTCAATCAGTTCATAGAATGCTCCATATTCTTAACTGTTAAAGACCAGTTATTTATTTATGTAGAGTGCAGTCTGTCAGGGCATAACTTCATAGAGATTTATTCAGCCTAGAATTAGACTGTTGTACATTTTGGAGCTGTGATTTTTAAGGAGTGGGGGGATAATATCCTGTTGTAAAATGCAGCTTTATTTGGTTCTTTACCCACACAGGCATTGGGCAATTATATCCCTGAATAGCATGAAGCAAGGGTCTAGACCTGTGGTCTCTCTGCATATATCACATACCTATGATGAAAGGCGGGTTGACGGTGCACACTCAAACAATCATTATTTAAAAGCCCACGGAAGGATACTCTGAGGCAGCCTGATCTAAAATCACCTTCACAGCCAATCACTCTTGCATGAAAACAAAGATGTTTCCGCCTTATGATTAACACTAACCCTGCTCTCTTGTCTTAATACTTATCCTGCCCAACAGGCATTCTGGCTCAGAGTCTATTTGCCTTTATAGACTGATTATGACTTGGAGACAAAGAATAGACCTTCAGTTATTCATGTAGGCTGGAGCACTAGAGGTTTCATAGCACCCTTCTTGCTCAAAGCATCTTAAAATACTTTACAGTCGGGCAGACTGATGCTGAATTTTAAGAAATTGCTGTGGCCCCATCAGAGGTTAAGCAACATTCCATGTTCCCTTTTGTTTCCCTGCAATTTTGAGTGGCAATTGGAACCAATATACAAAAGTGATGAGTATGTCAGGAATACATATAACAAACAAATGGTACATTTATATACATAGCATTTCATTAGTGAAAGAGATTTTTCAAAAAGTATTCTCATGTGAATGTTTAAATTTAAATAAAAACCCTCTATAGGGCACCAGGTTACACACAGAGCCAATCAAGCCAAAGGCCTGTGGTTTACATTTGAAAGTGAGTGTTGCTTTCACATTCAGGGTTCGTATTTCCTCTTTCTGTACACAGCTGCCAGCAGACTTCTGAAGTTTCTCAAGTTCTACAGATTTCCTTTGTCAGAAGAACTGCATTGCTTCATTTAAAAATATTTCTGTTTGCTTCTCAGTGTTCCACTCCCACTCAACTCTTTTACCTAACTCAGGACTTTTCAAAGTTAAACAAAACCTTGATATTTCTGTTTGCATATTTGTGTCTCTCCACTCCCACTAGCCTTTGTGTTTTTATACACTTCATTGTTTTGTTTTTACTTACTGTTGGAGCCCAAGTGGGACTAAGCAAAGTGTGGACCCCACCCGCTCAGTTTCCTTATTTAAGACACACACAAACCCCCTGAAATTTACTGAGCTCCAACCACTTGCACCTACTTCCTTTTGAAGGATGAGGGCCACAACATTCTCCAAAGACTTCCTTGAGGGGGTAGATTTGAGCTTTAAGGCGCAATAAAGTTACTATTTGAGACCTATGGCAGTTGATGCATCAATCCCTCTTTTCAATTAGGAAATACAGTATAAGTCAATATGATTGATAGATTTTGCCTAGAAGAGCATGAATAGAAGGACTAATGCTACATCAGGAGTAAATTGCACAGAAAGTTTTGGGTGGGATTGTGATGCATGAAATAGAAAAGCTGTTGTCAGGATAGCAAAGGTGTGTAGACAGAGTTGAGTGTAAAGGAAACCATCAAGACAGCTTGTGGAGAGCAGGGTGAGAAAAAGCCATGTTTGATCATGGTAGCATATTTGTAATCACATGTATTCCTCTGCATGTTCTAGTGAGGTAGCTTGTTACAGTTTGGAAAGAGTTTGCTAAGTACAATATTTTAGTATAAGTGTAGAAAGGAATAACAGCTCATAAGGACAAATGTAACAGCATTTCCCTCACTTATATAGCAGGATAAACAGATCAGATTCTCTCCTTGTAAGAATGCTTAAGTACTCTGACTGGCAGAACTGAAAAATGCAACATACTGAAACCAGAGACCAAACATTAACTATAGCAGGTACATCTCAAGGCAGAACTCTTGCTGTCCAAAATTCCTTAGAACCTGACAAGTGGAGTTTTAGATTTCTGGATCGTAGAGTGACTTTCTTACTATATTTCAAATCTTTTCCTTAATTCAGCCACCTTTCATTTTAGCTTGCTCTTTTGCTCTTGATCTAAGGCTAATGATGTTCAGTCCTTCAGAAGCTGTAACATCTGTGCCATGTCTGTGGACACAAACTGTTGTAATAAACACAGGACTACAAATCTACTGCAGGATAGCCAAGAATGAACCAGAAGAGGAGCAGAGCAGGGCTGTGGATCCATGTTCCACTTCTGACAGATCCTTCCTCTTCAAATATCAAGATTGAATATGCTTTGCTAGTATTTAATTAGGGCTAAACCTCCATTGTAAAAATGATTGGCTGGCCAATTGTAAGGAAGATGGAGAAGCAGTGTGTTAATCTCACTGCAGACTAGAAAATCACTGGAACAATATAACCCACAAAGCCTGATTAGACACATAGGCTCCCTATCACAAGAACTAGACCCAGAAAACCCAGCATGTTATGTGGGAAGCCATTCAAGCCAGCTAATAACACATACGAATCAAGTGGAGT